TTCATTATCTCTTGTTTTGCTTAGTTTTTGCTCTATTGTTTTTTATGTTTTGAAGATTAGATTGTAGTACTTTGTAGAAAGATATAAGTATATAATTTTTTTAAGTTTGTGGACATTGATTAGAAGTAGAACTAATTAAGATGATATTATTGAAATCCTAAAAAATTATTGTATTTATTTTATTTGCATCAAGAGATGAACAATAAAATTATAAAAATAAATTATATAATTATTCATAACAACATGATTTGTATTTTTTATACAATTTAAGTGCTTCAACAAATGTACTTAACATTTTGTTTAATAAATTTTATATGCATTCCCTTGTCCATGCTTTTTCTATAATGCTATAGTTTTAATTTTTAAATTTATAAAGTTATTATGTAATTTTATGTTTATGCTAAAACATATATAGATAACTTGGTCAAACGGCTTTATATTAAACTAATCTTTATAAACTTAAATCAATTATTAGTAATTTATCTATGATGTGTTGAGATTGTGCTAAGTTTACATGACTAATTAATACAATCAAAGTTATTTAATTTTTATATTCACACAAAATTACATATAGTTAAACTAAACATTAATACATAAAAACAACAACTATTTTTCAATACATTTAAGAAATTCACGTCGGTCATCTTATTAAAGGGCTTATGAAACACCTTTATTTGCTCAAATTTCAAGCTCTCCAAAACCTTGCTTGGAAACTCATGATTCAACAACTTGAAAAAAATCTCATTAAAATGCAGCTTCAGCTATATATTTTATGAAATTATCTCTTTTTAAATATCTAAAATTTAAGTGATTGATATCAATAAAAAGCAACTCATATTTTTCCTCCACATTGAAAAGTTATTTCTAATCTTTTACTTCTACTCAAGTGTGTTTAAAAATGATTTTGTAAGTCATTTGAAATGGTGTTGGGAAATTTGTTTAAAACATGGTTAATTTACATATGCATTTAAGGTCAAATTAAAAACGGGATCCATTTATTTTTTGGGTTAAAACTTTATTAAGAAGTAATATTTAACATAAACTTTTTAACATAAAATATTGCCATGATTTAAAAAAATCATGAGTTAATAAGAAATTAATCTTAAAAATACCTTGGTTATCATATTTTGAACAAATCGTTAACCCTTTAAAAGCTTTATCCCACATAGAAAATAAACAAACTTTTCTATGTGGTTTTTTTAATAGGAATGTGAAAAGTTAAAATTAGATCTAAAAGCTTTATCCATTATAGAAAATAAACAAACTTTTCTATGTGGTTTTTTTAATAGGAATGTGAAAAGTTAAAATTAGATCTAAAAGCTTTATCCATTATAGAAAATAAACAAACTTTTCTATGTGATTTTTTTAGTGGGAATGTGAAAAATTAAAATTAAATCCAAAGAAAATTCAAGTTTTTAGAAGGGAAAGGACCTAACGAAAGTAGATTTTAGACTTAAATCTACATGCACATCCTAGCTCAACTCATGCTCGAGCTTTGGGTCGAGTCTAGACTTGGGTTTACTGTAAAATAATTTTTTGGGTTACAAAAGATTATTTTTTACCAACTAAACTTTGGGTTTAGGTCTGGTGCACAAGAAATTATTTTCTTCAACTCATTATCTTATCTAACCTATGTATTAGGTTTGATCAGCTTCTTTAGTTATTTTAAAAATTGATTATTCATAAGCTGGATATTTTTTATAGCTTTTAAAAACAAAAAATTGATAGGTTTTATTCTAATTTTATTAGGTTTGGTTATTAAAATTTTCTATAAAAGGAGTGGAAAAGGAGTGTTTCATGTTCATTTTCTACACATTATGCATTTTTTTTTACACTCTCCTTCATTGAAGTTTTCATTTAGCTCCATTCCTTTTAAGATATAACTTTTCTCTTTATTTATCTCTTAATCTAAAGGATAGATTCAATCCTTGTAAAGTTATTTCTAAGTTTTATTTTTTTTGTTTGTTAAACCTTATTTAAGTGTATAACTAAATAAGAAGTTATTGGAATTTTGTGATACTTATTAAAGTTAGTTCTTTTACACTTAGTAAAAATCAATAAAACCTTAACAATAATGAATTGATCCTTAACAACAAAAAAATTTTAGCTTGATCAAATTTCAAAAGCTTCATTAAGTGCCTAACATATCTTTACTTTAAGTATATGTTTTAGTATGCATACTAGGAGTTAGTTTCAATCTTTTATGCTTATGAACTAATCATTTTATACTTGTTTAATATTGTACTAGTCTTATGTGATAATTTCAAGTTACAATAATTCTTTATTTTATCATGCTTATAAACTAACCATTTTATACTTGTTTATTTTTCTTCTAATAATTTTGGATAATGAATGGAACACATTTATGTTAATTGTTAATTAGTCAAACTAATTCACATTCTAGCTACATTGAGATGTAAAAAAACCAACTATAATCTATACTTAACCAATATTAATTTGCGACCCCAAAATCACCAAGTAATTACTTAGTTATAGTATATGCTTAGAGCCTACTTTTATTAGAGTTGTTTAATTTTTTTGTGCACTGAAATATCCTTTACGGTCAGGTAATCTTCCAACGACAACTAATTTATTTCTAATTAATTGATATAAAACTAATGAAATTAGTCTTCAACTAGTTTACTTCTCATGATACACTTCAAAAAATCTTTGAATGTAAAAATACACACACACACACACACACACACACACACACACACACACACACACACACACACACACACACACACACACACACACACACACACA